AGTGAGAAATATTACTGTGTTCTGCCCCATTAACTCCAGGTACTTGAATGTGTGTGTATGTGTTCCTAGATAAATACCCCCAATGAGCTAAAATGTGGATATGATTATACTATTTCCTGGAGTGCATCAATTTATTTCTACAATCTCTAAAAGGCCAACCCAACTCTTCTTGTAACTGCTTGCAATCTTTCTCAGCTGTGGGTCCAGTGTTTTCCCAAAAACTACGTACTGATTCATGATGCCTGTGACAAATTAGCACAGTGTTCGTTATTTCCAGAATAATGACCTCGGAGTGATTTTATTTGGCCGGCCATGTGGATGGTTTAGGACTTAGGGCTATTTCTTGACTATAATAATTTGTGCTTTAGGATGTTTCCTCCTGATAGGAAATTCCATTCAGAGAACAGACCACCTATAATCGAAGGTGTCTAATGAGTCATCAGGGACATTGGAGAATGATCAGAATGTTTTATTTATATTTAAATGTTTATGGAACACTCATAGCTAGAGGGAAACTGGCTATTGCAGTCTTTGCAATTATTAGGCTGTTTCTCTTTTACTATCTCCTGGGAAACTACAAAAAAGGAATTGATGATTTGACATTATCCCTGGAGTATGTCCATGATCCAGCCACTTCCTTTGGAGCGCTTGAGAAATCAGCCCACCTAACCTGCAGCTTTTAGTGTCTTTCAACTCGAAAAGAACATGATAATGCAGGGATACCTGCCAGTCCCCTCATCAGCTACACTACAGCTGCCCTAAGGTTGGTGATAATTTACCAACGTGCTGACTCCTGCCCTTTTACTTATTGATATTGCTTATTCTGGTTAACATTCATCACGACCCTTTGAGCCACTGCCAGTTGAACGCATCTGAATTAGTCAGTTCTCTTTGAATTTTTGCAATAATTCCCATTTCTGTTTCAAAAATCCAAAGCAACAAAAATCTATCCCTTAACACCAGCACTTTTTAAAACAGTTCCTACTTCAGTGCCTTTATCAATAGCTACTTACACACACTATGAATTTGTTCACATTCATTTCCTAATATGGTCTTTTATTAATTCAATAATTAACATGCCCAGATGAGCACATACACGTTTTTGAAACCATGGAAGACAGTAGACCTTTTAAGAAAAAAGAAATGGATCTACCCCTAATTTCATGATACTTACAGTCTAAAAGTGCCTCTTTATCCAAGTCAAAATAGATTCCTTAGTGAAAAATCTTCCTGGCAAGCAACCAGAATTTTTAAGGCATGTTTCCTCTGAAGAAAGTCACTTTCTCATTGTTCCTGGGTAATTTGCCTGCTAGCCTCTATTTTTGCTATTCTCCTAACTTTATTCATTTTCACTTATCAGAGAGGCATGAATTGGTGAAAATTAAATATTTCCACTTTAATAATTGCTGTTTAGGAAAAAAAAAAGGTTGGAACGACACCCTAAAATCAAGTTTGAATGTAAGTAACATTTTAATATCATTGACTAATTTTTTTTCTATTCTATCTTTGAATCTTTCTGCCAATCCTTACCAAAAAAAAAAAAAATGTTCTGAGGACAAATGAAAATAAAATGCATTTCACAGGGAACGTTTGTCAAAATGCAATGTAAATGTCGAGAGGATGCTACAGACCCACACTGAGATTTTACGTGTGTCTGTAGTTTACAGTACCGCCCAGAGCAGGAGCCTCAAGACATCATCTGTTTCCCTTCCTGTCCCCAAATGAACCAGGCAATTCGGAATCTATGGCAAGGGCTGGAATAGTACAAAAGGATGTTGACTTTGATCTTCTGTCAAGGGAAGCTGGAGTCCGAGGAGTGGAGGCGGGGAGGAGTGCTGATGGGGAGGTGGCAGCATGAGAGCAGCAAATAATTGTCCCTCGGGGAACAATTCTCACACTCTCAGTGTCGGTCCCCTGCCCTCCCATCTGTGCGCTGCACCTTAGGAAGGGACATGGGTAATCAGAGCAGTCCCTGTGGCTCCGTCTCTTTCCTGCATCTTGCTCTATTAACTGAGCCCTTCTCTGTGCCCACCATCGACCAGAAGTAACCAAGGCGTCCTCGGAGGGTGAGGGGCAGAGACAGGAGACACTGGAGGTGGGGGTGGGGGTGGGGGGCAGGACAAGAAAAATGTACAGTTCTGTTATAGGAACAAGATACCAGTGACTGCGAGTCCAAATCCACTAGTCTCTTATGTCTGGCTGTTACGCTCATTTTATCTGCAAATAAGAAACCAGAGTAGGTCCATGCTCACGCCAATCAAGCGTTCAAAATAAAGAACTTAAACAGAAAACAAGCAGCAGAGCCTGTGGGGCACCAGCCTACGAAAACGTGCCCCAAGCTGGAGCATCAAAACTGACGCCTTCTACACAAAGGCAGTTGTTCTCTCCGCCACTGAGCACTGCAGAGCTTAAAGGCACGTCTCACCTGGCCCTTTCCTAAGGCCACGGCGACAGTCCTGTTACTGTGCGGCCGAGCCCAACGCCCGGGTCTCCAATGTCTAATCCTGCACTTTCTCGACTGCCGATAACAGCGCTACTCTTCATAAGACCCTATTGAGTGCCGAGTATTATTCTAAGCACTTTACAGGTGTTGCCTTGCCTAATCCTACACCCACCCCCACGACGCAGGTACATGTTTCTGTGCCATGCAGGTATATGTTACTGTGCCATGCAGGTACATGTTACTATGCGACGCAGGTACATGTTACTGTGCCATGCAGGTATATGTTACTGTGCCATGCAGGTACATGTTACTGTGCGACGCAGGTACATGTTACTGTGCCATGCAGGTACATGTTACTGTACCATGCAGGTACATGTTACTGTACCATGCAGGTACATGTTACTATGCGATGCAGGTACATGTTACTGTGCCATGCAGGTACATGTTACTGTACCATGCAGGTACATGTTACTGTGCCATGCAGGTACATGTTACTATGCGACGCAGGTACATGTTACTGTGCCATGCAGGTACATGTTACTGTGCCATGCAGGTACATGTTACTGTGCGACGCAGGTGCATGTTACTGTGCCATGCAGGTACATGTTACTGTGCGACGCAGGTTGCATGTACTCTGGCGACGCAGGTGCCATGTTACCTGTTGCCATTTCAGTGAGGATCTGAGACCAGTGGTGGATAAGTAACTTGCTCAATCCCAAAACTGGCGGAAAGGTTGAGCTTCTATCCTGAACCCCACCCCCTCCTACCCTAGGGCCTGCTTATGCCCCGCTCCACCTTCTCCTCCCTCACCAGGAAAACGTCTGTAGAAAGACTGGCTGGGTGCCTCCCCCAGCCAACTTCAGCTCGCAGTCCACGACTACCTTCTCACTGGCACCCGAGCTGCACGAGGACCGAGTCAGAGTACGAGGTTTTGACTGTCACAATGCCGGGTTCCTCTCTCTGTATATATAGGGAGAAAAGAATAACAGTGTTTGTCCTCATCCTCCAAGATCCCCTTCCTGGAATGCTTTGAGCAATTCCAGGCATCCAAGGAACTTCATCTCTCCGGTCTCAACACCTTAAGTTCCATGTGAAAAATTAAAAAAAAAAAAAATTACAATCATGGAATAACAGGAGTGATGAGAAAGTTGAGAACCTCCGAGCTAGCC